TGTATTTGAATTTTATTAGTACTGTACTTACAAAATTTAGTTGATGTTTGGACAACGTTTTGTTTTACCTTCTCATTTGGATTTGGGTGAAGATTTAAAATAGAGTTTAGTGACAAATTATGAAAAGTATTATAGTATAGTGATCATTTTTTGAAAGTGGAATAGTATAGTGACCAGACTTAAAATTTTACAATAGTTTAGTGACCAAACTTAAAACTTTACTATAGTTTAGTGACCGCCACTAAATTTTACAATAGTTTAGTGACTAAACTTAAAACTTTAAAATAGTTTAGTGACCATTGGTACTAAATTTTAGAATAGTTTAAAAGATAAATTAAATTGATGTTTGGATAGTGTATTGAGATTTGTGTTTAAGAGGTAAATGAGACAAAAAGTAAAATGAAACGACAAACAAACAAGGCCTTAGCTTTTGTGATCGTACTATAAAAATTAAAAAAGATTTGTTTTGGTTTTTTCAATCATATTATGATTTTTTCTGTCAAGTAATCGGAAATCTAATATTTCAATAGTTTTGCTGATTTTTTTAATTCATCTTTTGCTATTATTTAACCAAAGTGGTTGTGGTGGAGTGAAAGGAACTCCTCCACCCTTAACCATAGGTCGAGGGTTCAAAACTCGCTATGGACATAGAGCAACCTTAAATACTTTGGCCAGCTGTCCACCCATCGAGGTGCCAACAATTCAGCGAGGGGGATTTGTAGTCACTGTTGCTGACGGTAAAAAAAAAAAAAATCTTTTGCTATCATTTGTACTTCTGAAAAATTTATATGTTGATTTTTCTTTTTGTATGCAGAATGTTAAAAATATTCAAATTTTAAACTCAAACCTTGACCCTGTCTGGTAAAAAGAAAATTCACAATGAGTATAACTAGATGGATTATACGCGCTTCACGCTTACACTATATTTAATAAAAGAATACAAATTGTATAAAATAAAAAATGATTTGTTAATAGTAAAAAATTTTGACCCACGATGATGTTACATATTTTACATATTTTACAGAATCGTATTATTAAAATGTGACATTTTTTATTTCAACAAAATTTACACATAATATTACAAATGTGATTAGGAAAAAAAAGACATACAAAGTAATAAGACACAATCAAGTTTTTATGCATCATCAAAAAGAAAAAAAAAAGAAAGAACTTTAAAATGAAAAAACAAATCAAAGATAAAAGAATTCTTGGAAAAAAATGAATATGAACAATGAAAGATGATTATCTTCAAAAGAATTGTAATGAAGACGTTACAAAACATAAAAAAGCAAAGAACAAAGAGAAAAAGAGAGAGGAAGCTATGAACAGACTCACACATCATCTAATATTATACATTGGAACCATCAAAACTGTTTTTTGACCTATCAAATCACATATTAATGGTAATTGTAAAAAATAAATTAATGGGAGGAAGATCAAGGTGGAAAGTTTACAAAATGATACATGTAAAGAATTATAAAATGTAAAATAAACTTGTTACAGCCGTTTCTATCACCTATCAAATTAGCAATAATAGTAAGTAATAAACAATCATAATCAGTATGTCTTTTCATTTTCTTATCCGCATTTTATTTTCCACTAAACGCTAAATTAAATCTCCCACAGAAATAATGACAAGCAAAGTTGATACATGAAATTTAAAAATAACAAAAAATACAATAGGAAGGACTACCAAATCCAAAATCATATTCCCCAATTATAATACATATTGATTAAATAATAATAATGCATGAAAAAGATAAAAGAATAATCAGCGAGGAAAAAAACTTTTCTACACAGACTTGGGCAAGTATATTATATATCCTAAAAGAAGAAGATCTCTAAACTTGGACAAGTATCATGGTGGGAAAAAATTATTTGGAGTCTGATAGTCGAAAGTTTTTACACAAAAGCAACCAATACTTTTTTCTTTTTTTTTTTGCGTTTAACATTGTCTTATATGATCGAGTTGGTTGCACTATCATAATCACTTGAATTTGCATTAGTGGAAAAATTAAAAATTGTGGGATTCCTTTTTCTTGTAAAATGTTCATATATTTTACCAATCTAAGACATTTGTAACTCTAGAAAGAATAAGAAAGGGTCAAATTCTTATTCTAAAGATAAAATTAAATAAAGTTAAATTTCTACCAATTTTCATGTTGCATTTGTTCCGTCATAATATATTGAAAACATGAAAAATTTCTCAGTAAGTACTGAAATAAAGTAATTAATTCAAAAAAAATTGAAGATTATAAAGTAACTCAAAAAAAAATTACAAAGTAAGTAAACTTTTCAAGAAATAAACTAATCCCACTTCAAACTATCAAGAACGTAAGGATTGAATGAAAAAAATTAAGAACTTTCATATTTTAGAAGGGATTTATGGAAGACTTACTAATTTAAATATGAAATTTTCGCAATTGAAGAGGTTGGTTGTTTCTGTGAGTTCGCCACTATGTAAACGCCGAATAGTTTAAACAAAACTAAAGCATATGAAGGCTAGAAAAGGTGAAGTGTTTTATAGATTTTGATAGAAATGTAATTAAGTATAGCAGTTATTAGAATATCAAGAGGTGAGCTAAAGAGAAGAAGAGATTTATAATAATAAAATTAAATTTTTAATGTTGTTTTGTGATTAAAGTAGATGTAAATGAGGCAGATGAAAGGTTGTCATCATGGAGTTAGATTAAAGTTATATATATTGTAATTAAAGTGAAAACACACAAAAATTTCCATCAATAGTAATTAAGTACTTCTCACATTACAAAAAAAAACACATATTTACACATACAAGAGGACTACCAAACCTTCAAGGATATTCAGCAATTATAATATGTAGGTAGGTAATAGTGCCTATCCCAAAATTTACCACGCAAGAAAGCAATAAATAAAAGGAAAAAAGAACAAATATATTTTTGTAGTTCGCTCTAAAAAAAAAATAATAATTAGGACCTCTTTTCATCAAGAAAGAAAAAAGAATAAAACAGAAAACTAAAGCCAGTCATACAATAACTTGCCCATAAACACACTACGTCGTCAACCTTCTTTCTTCCCTCGAACTCCGCCGCCCAAATTCTGATATATCCCCGTTTCATTTTGCAAGCTTTTTTTTTGCAATCTCCGATCACAGAATCGCAGTGCATCAACGTCCTATTTACGAGGTCAGCCCTACGGTACTTCCTTTTCATTCCTTTTTTTTAAAAAAATTTAATTTTAATTTTGAAGTCTTGGTTTCATTTTAATGTTCGATTCTTTAAACCCTAGTTTCTTTCTTTGTTCTGAATTTCGTGAATTTCGTGTTGAATTTTTTAGGGATTGTACTCAATTGGGGGCTGAAAAATGGCCATGGCAGCCCCTAATCAATTGAACATCAGCGAACCACCGACCTGGGGTTCGAGAACTGTGGATTGCTTCGAGAAAATCGAGCTAATCGGTGAAGGAACTTATGGGTTAGTGTTTCTATGTGGTTTCTTATCGCTATCCTTTATTTTATTGGGAAATTCCATCAGAAGTGTTTAGTTTTTTGTTCCTCCTTTTTTTTTTTTTGGGTTGAACTTTGCTTGGTTGAAAGTTGTTACTTTGTATAATGTATCATGTATGTGGATTTACGTGAATGCTAATGGGTGTTCTGGAGTGTTGAAGCTTCTTCTTAATTTGAAAGTATTAGAATACATCTTGAAGGGTAAAACTTTGAGCTTTATACTTTACTGGAGAGGAAATAATTGGCTTTGGCCTGTGGAAGATGACAAATTTCTTTTCTGAGGGTGATTCTTAATTAGTGCAATCAATGGGATTTATGAGGATTGATGAAGAAAAGTGAACTTTTTTAATTTTGATGCACTGAAGCTTGGAGTTAGTTGTGGGCGATTGGTGGAATATGCAAACAATTCATAGTTGGGTTTTTCTAGACGGGGATGCATGTTTGAATCCAAGTATTTGCTGCTTATCTTAGGTAGATGCTGATATAAGTAGCATGAAGATGATGTGCTTTTCTTTCGCGGGCAGAATTTACAAATTCGCTATCCTGGAACTTTTATGTTGAAATTTTTTTTTTGGAAGTGGCATGGTTGATGATGTATTCTTATGTTTTGCGATTTCCGAGGATTAGGTTAGGTTTATTTGTGGTGCGGTTTTAGAATTTTATGAGTTACGGCACATAAATTTCTCTCTGCCATGTGTGTGCTGGGCGTCTAGGATATGTTGGAAAAAATTTTAGCTTGTAGGGTGCGCAAAACGTAGGATTGAGGAAAGAAAACAGGAAAAAAGCGTTGAGCTTGTTGGTAACTCTTGTAGCTTGTTCACTTGGATCACTAATTGTTTTGGCCTGTAAGTAAAACTTGAGGTTTGTAATCTGAAAACTTGTGTTCGGCTCTATCAATTTAAATTGCTCTAAGTTAACATGTAAACGTCTGTTATAAAAGGCATCTTAAGCGTCAACTCAAAGTTAAGTTTAGAAGGTGCCACTTGCTTTTGACATTCCATTGTGTATAGAAAATATATCTACCATGACAAGGCAACTCTCAGCTATTGCAACCAAATGCATTGTTATCATACTCATATTACTATTGAGTAGGAAGCCGATAGCATTGATTTCTGGTGCATTTATGTATGTCTTTAAATTGATTGATGATTTGTTTTCGCTAAGCATTTACAACTTTCTTTGTCCTGGGATCATGGGGAAGTTAGAGTTGCTTTATGATTTCTTGCAAGATCTAGTGTTGGAGGCTATCTAACTGCCTTTATATGCTTTATTGTTGGTCTTGCAGTCAGGTGTACATGGCTAAAGAAATTAAAACGGGTGAAATTGTGGCTTTGAAGAAAATACGTATGGATAATGAAAGAGAGGGGGTAAGCTCTATTACTTCTTCGAATTTCCTTTGAGTTGATTAAATTCGTGGTATACATTTTTCTGTTCTGGTGTGTGGACATGAAGGAAGAAGTGGAGCCATTATACTTAATCCTTTATTTATTATTCTTCAAAATTGGAAAGATGTGACAGCTGGCATGCACTTCAGAGAATTCGATTGAAATGAGGCTTAGCCTTGTCCTACTTTAATTTCTATGTATGTGTTGTTTCTTGGTATCAAGTGACATGGAGCACATTACATCTAGTGCTTCTCCAGTTGGCCTTATCTGGTCCATCATCTTCTGTTTTCATCCTTTTATAAATTATGTTGCCATATGGCCAAATTAAACCGTGCAAAATGTTTAATTGTTCCTTTATATTTTCAGAATGATGCTTAAAAATGAAAGAATTAACTTATGTGTCATCAGGAGCATAACAAAGAAAATAATAGATTTGAGTTTGTATTGAAGTCAGGAACATTTGGGACAAAATGAGCTAGTTGACTACGGGCTCTCTTATTACATGAAAATGTAGCAGTTATTACATCGTTGTTGGGTGGAAAACTAGTAAAACATTTATGTGAGTCACAAGAAGTATCTTTTGATGATGATATTCTTTTGATAGTTGAAGGTTGCTTTCTGAAACTCATTTGCTAATTTCTCTCTTGCAGTTTCCCATTACTGCCATAAGGGAAATTAAAATTTTGAAGAAGCTGCACCATGAAAATGTTATCAAGTTAAAAGAGATCGTCACATCTCCCGGTAATTTTATGGATGCAATTCTTTTCCACTGATCATTATATGGATACTGGAATAGAGATGTAGTTGCTTAAAGCAAAGGGGTGCACTCATAAGTATTATAGTCTTCGTCTAGGAAGACACTCTAGATTTCCTCAAGCTGGAGTTTTGTCAGTTTCTCTTATTCTGTGCTCTTATACTGTTATGCCGTTGTTTGTCCAGGTCCTGAGAGAAACGAACATGAACAGGCTAGACCAGGCAAGTATCATTATGGCTTTCATCTTACTGATGTTCGGCCTTGTTTTTTGTTACCCATTCACTCTGCAAATTTGAGCTTTAGTTTTCACACCTGTACTTATCTATATATGAATGTATTAAGTGATAATGATACTGTAATAGAGATGATAAGCAAGTATCTTCATGTTTCTTTTTTATTTTATTATTTTTCTAGTGGGGAACTTTGCCTACACAGACTGTTCTCTTAGCGATATGGTTCCTTTTTTCCAGATGGTAACAAGTACAAGGGTGGAATATACATGGTATTTGAATACATGGATCACGATTTGACTGGTCTTGCTGATCGTCCTGGAATGAGATTTTCTGTCCCACAGATTAAGGTGATTCCTCAAGCCTATCTTCTCCTTGAACTATCTAATTGTTTGATATTGAGAGTGCGAGTTGATTGAAATTGGGTTTAACATATTTGATTTTTACTCAAAATCACATTCTCCAGTGCTATATGAGACAGCTCTTGACTGGTCTTCACTACTGTCATGTAAATCAAGTACTTCACCGAGATATCAAAGGTATAATTCTGAATAACTGTTGTCTCTGGTTGGATACTGTTTATACACGTATTAACTTTTCTTCTTTTCATTCTACCTGCAGGTTCTAATCTTCTGATAGATAACAACGGAAACCTGAAGCTTGCTGATTTTGGTCTTGCTCGGTCTTTTTCAAATGATCACAATGGAAATCTTACAAATCGTGTAATTACATTATGGTACAGGTAAAGTTTTTTATAATTCGGCTTTTCCTCTGAACATATGTTTGGGTTTTACTTTTGGGGGTTTTGTTGAGCGGTAGATGTTTAATACCGTGAAAATAAATTGGCCAGACCACCAGAATTGCTGCTCGGAGCCACAAAGTATGGTCCGGCTGTAGATATGTGGTCTGTTGGTTGTATCTTTGCCGAGCTTCTAAACGGAAAGCCAATCTTTCCTGGGAAGGATGAGGTAGCTGATGTTTTCTGTTGGTTAAATGTATAACTTCAAAGGTTGTCAGCATGTAAGTTTATGGTGGTCTGTGTACTGAATCATGCTGTAATGTTGTTTGTATTGAAAAGAAAATAATACAATATGTAAAATGTGCAGAAATGAACTTCTCTTTTGTTGTCACATTGTGAGTGCTGTTTATTGGATGTAGTTTTTTTTCCCCTCCCTTTTCTTTGACAGTTTTAGCCGCTTTGTTTTGATGTAACTTTTTGAAGCAACCCCATTGAAGATTATTGTGTCTGTATTTGAAAACTAGTGGGCCTTTATTTGGCTTGTCTTTCATTTCACTTTCTCTTTGACTATCTTATAGGTCATTGTTAGCTTGTCAATAGAGCTTTTACCTCTATTTTGATTGATGTTGTCTATAGAGATCATGATTGTAGAGTCTCTTTGTTAGATGCACTCTTCTGTTCTCATTACCACATGATGTCTCTATCTGATTAATAAGGGGACGCACTGAACATTATACTTATTATTTAGTGATGATCTGCCTAGATTTGTGCATCATGTACAACTTTTGTATGAGATGAGTTTCGAATGTGAAATTCCTTGTATTATCTTGTTTCCATGGTTCCCCTACGTCTCCCTGGGAACATTTATGAAGACAATTAGACAAAATTAAACATAGTGAAGTGGACAATGGCAATCAAAGACATTTTCCTCGACGAATTTCCTGGACATGTATAATTGTGCACCATATGTTGCGGAATAATTGAATCCCCATATACAAATAAATTATCGGCCCACATTCTGCTGCTACATGTACAAGTAGCTCTCTGCATGATGATACTTAAATATATCTGTCTATGCTTGTTCACTTATTGGTCCAATTCCATCTAATTGTGAAATATAAATGTTTAGAATCTTAGTTTGATGCTTTACCTTGTTCCTATTGCTCATTAATCTTATGGTACTGAAGCTAATTTAATTCCCAGAATTTTGAAATCTTTGTCTCTCCTGTAACAAAATTGTCATTTTCAGCCAGAGCAGTTAAACAAGATCTTTGACTTGTGTGGGTCCCCTGATGAGAAAAATTGGCCTGACGTATCAAAGATCCCTTGGTATAACAACTTAAAACCCTCAAGGCCTATGAAAAGACGTCTTAGAGAGGTTTTTAGGCAGTAAGTCAATGTTTAGTTTTTAATTTACATGTGCCAATTTTTCGTGATATGTTGGACATCTCAGTCTTGATGTTCATTTATTGTCTTGGACAGCTTTGACCGGCATGCTCTGGAGTTGCTGGATAAGATGCTGATGCTCGATCCAGCTCAGGTAACAAACTTTGTAATCATTTATTTGTATTGTTGTAGTGTCTCAGAGTGTGTCAGGCCTAAAATGTCATACATCCTATGGAACTGCTGTAATCTTAATCCTCTTACCTGCTGATGTGGCTGGCACAAGGTTGGTAGAACCTGGGTAACATTTATTTGTCCTGGTCAAAAGGAATTGAAGTAACTGTTTAGAATTATACTTGTTTGTTGAATGGTGGTTGACGCTGTTCATTGCCTAATTATTACGCTATGCCTTTGAATTTCTCAGAGAATTTCTGCCAAAGATGCACTTGACGCGGAGTACTTCTGGACTGATCCATTGCCGTGTGACCCCCGGAGGTATTCTTACTGAATGTTCTCTGCCCTCTTGTGAACTCTATGTGCTGCTTTTTTGCTAATCCAGTCTTTACTCTGAAATCTGTCTGTGTTGTTCTCGCTCAGTTTGCCAAAATACGAATCTTCACATGAATTTCAAACTAAGAAAAAGCGCCAGCAGCAGCGACAACATGAAGAAACAGCTAAACGCCAGAAACTACAGCATCAAACGCAGCATAATCGCCTCCCACCTCATCAGCAGTCAGGGCAAGGACATCCTCAGATGCGGCCTGGACCAAACCCAGGAATGCATGGTTCTCAAAACCAAGTGGGTGCTGGCCCTAGTCATCATTATGGGAAGCCACGTGGACCTTCAGGTGGACCTGGTAGATATCCTCAGGCTGGAAATCCTTCTGGAGGATACAACCACCAAAATCGAGCCCAAGGTGGCGGGGGTTATGCCAATGGTCCATACCCACCTCAAGGAAGGGGTGCACCATATGGCTCAAGTGGGATTGCTGGTGCCGGCCCCAGGGGAGGCGGAGGTAGTGGTTATGGTGGTGGTGGCCCAAATTATCCACATGGAGGTCAATACGGTGCTTCTGGCACCGGACGTGGCTCAAATATTAACCGGAACCAACAGTACAACAATTGGCAGCAGTGATGTCTTTGTATCTGAATGGTGATTTCAGTAGTATTTTTGAGTGACGCTTTGTCTTGTTCAACTTAGAATGCAGTGCTAGAGCAAATAACTACAATAGTATAGTAGTCATTCTCCTTCACCCTTGCAATCTCCCCTGAACCCTATGGCGACGACTTGTATTTTTCAAAATACTTATATTATTTATGAGAAGAAATGATCTGGGATATGAAGACTGAAAGTTTGAATCAAGGTCATTTGTGGAAAGTTCAAAGCTGAGTTTGTATGTAGGAAGACGGGTATTGGAACTTTTATTATTGGTTTCTTCTTGCTTATACAGCTTTTTCCAGCACTACGGTTCTCTTGGATTCAGTTCCTAATTCTTCTTGCATACTTTAAAGTTTCCAATTCAAGGTTATCAACTGGAGAATACACTACCAGCCTAAACAAACCGGAGAATCATCTAGTGATGTGTATATTTCAGGGGAAATGGAAAGATACTCTCAAACTAGCTAGACTTCCTCTTGAAAATTTAGGAGCCATGTACAGGACATATGAAATGTAAGTGCTGAGGTTCGACAGTGAGGGAAGAACTGGTGTTAGAATGGTGTGATGATAGAGAGGCAGTTGCTAGTGATTGACTTCAGAATCCAGTGTTGGCAGATTTGTATGAATATATAAAGTGGCTCTGATTTTTGCGCAAATGAACTTGTGGAAAAAGGTTGATATAGAGACAGATGCGAGCCTTTTTGTCGGACAGTCTCGATGGTAAGAGATGCATGAATCCTGAAGCATTAACTACGTCAAAAACATCTTTCTCTTTGAACGTTGTTCTCATGTAAGTGTACTTTTGCCCAGAACTTGTCCTACATTTTTGAATTTATTTTAGAGGGAAATGACCATTGGGGTTTGGAAGGAAAACTTTCTTCTTGATGTAGCTTGTAAAAGATGCGGGAGCAATTTATTCAATTCCAACTCCTGTTTTTCTTTTCCTGTTCAACTGTCCAACTCCTGTTTGATTCATGGGGAAAAAGAGAGTGGAACATTTTTCTGCTCTGTATTTTGTAGCTAAAGCCTAAATACCGAAATGTTAGGGTTGTGAAATCGAGTTTATTGTGAGCAACTCGCTCCGAAGTTCATGGTTCGCTTGAGTTGATTCCATTGTGAATTGATCCGAGTTTTGATTATCTAGCTAGAGAGCTTTACTCGGACCATTTTGATTATCTAGCTGGAGTTGAGTTGCGCTACAGTAGAATTCCATGATGACACTACTTCTAAGCAACAAAATAGAGTAAATTCCATAACAACGACACTACCTCTCAGCATCAGTATTTCAAAATGACATCAGCTGCATTTTTATACATGAGAAACGGATTGAATTAACAAATGCTGTCAACTTTTTACATGGTGATGATATCAATCAGACCGCAAAAATCAAACTAATAGTTGGGGGCTCTGTTGTAGTAACTAACAAACTACATAATATGGTGCCCTAAAAAGTCTTAATCAGCACAGACATCAATGATACTCAGAAGTTAATCATTATTAGGAGTTGATTCAAGATGAGGATGCTTCCATGGAAAGAAGACTTTTTGCAGGTGGAAATAGTGCAACAGCTCCTCTGTCTGGACTTGAATACTTACTGTATGCTCCCTTGAGCTTGTTTTCTGCAGCACCACACTGAGAGTGGTAACTCACCAAAAGTTTAGCACAATCACTACACAGAGAGAAAAGAATGCCAACAAGGAAAATGGTGTCAATTCAATCGATTTTTAATGAAAAAAAAAAAACAATTGAAAACAAAAGGTGAAGACAATGAATCATCTTACATTAACTGGTCTTCAGCATAGGCAGTCTGGTGCTTAAGTGTCTCTGTCCACAATGGAGTCTTGTTGAGAGTGCAACGTGCAGCATACACTGCAGAGGCTGCTAACATAGAAGGGCGGTAAAGTATGGTTGTTGAATAGTTGACCAAACCGAGCTCAGCGAAGAAAAACACCATGTTCTCAAGCTACAAAGGCAAAAATCATTTCAAAAATCATCAACAAATATGACAATTTTCAAGAGGAGAAACACTGAATTGAGTTGCGAATTTCAATTAATTACCTCAGAGTCATACGGTAGAGAGGCCTTTATATATCTGACCAGAAAGACATATGGTGTTGGAATTGTCAAATTCCACTCCAGCTTACCCAGAATTGATTTCTCCATGACTAATAGATGGTTCCTCACATAAGCATTGTTTGATATAGCTATGAAATCATTGACCTGAAAAACATTAACCAGGAAACCAGATTAGTATCAATAATCCAGATTCATATTCGCATGACAATATCGTAGCACTTAGTTAACAAGTTCACTGTGTACCTCTGGCGCCCAGATTTCTTCATATTTGCAAGCTACAAGCATTGAACCCATGCCAACTAGCTGAAGTTCACTTCTTGGGACAGTCTTCATGGCGAGGAATCTGTCCATTATGTTGACAGTAAGGTACAAGCTTTCTGGCATCAATTCAAATTTCCTATGTACTTCTATCAACCAGTCTACAAGAATAGCCCTCATTCTGGCGTTGATGTTAGGCTGTAAACCCATGTAGTCATAAACTCGGCCACATTCCTGCTTCAAAAGAGTAAGTTAAAAGGGCTGAAACTATATGTACTAAGATAAAATGCTGAACCGGTACTAAGAAAATTACAAATGATGATCACAGCATACCTCAGTTTCCTTGTAGAAATTATACATATCCTCCACATATTCAACAACTGCCAATTCATTATTTATGTCTTCAGCATCAATGTCTACTATTAAATCCTTCGATTTGTTCACAATCCCACATGCGACCTAGGTATGAAATTCAAGTATAGGAGTGACTGACTGTAACTAACAGTATCAAAACAAATCATAGAGAAAAACAGCAGATGACCAATGAGATTTATACCTTGCTTCTAGCTAGTAGGGTAGAAGTGTAGGTTCTTCCACTCTTTCCGCCAGCCCTCTTTGAACTAACTGACCTAAGCCCACTTCCACTCCTGAGAACTTCATCTCTGCAATCGTCTTCTTCATCATCAGAACTTATTACGATTACTTCATAAGGTTTTGGCTTACAAGCATTCTTCCTGACGTTTCCAGCCACTCCTTCAACAATTGCTTCCTGTAAATTAACATACAAGAATCATCAGCTCATCGCAATCATGTGTATAAGAACCCTGATAAAAACCGTCATAAGTCTAAAAAAGAGGGGAAATCAAAACAAACCTTCTGCTTGTCTGCAGGTTTACCACCATTGACCAGTAACTTGCCACCCCTTATGGGTCGAGTCATAACCCGGGTTTTCGCATCTGCAGCAGGAGCTGGTACGAGGTTTCCAATATCTCTAAGAGCACGGCGATTCTTTCCTTCCACTGGCACCATCTTTTGCTTTGCTGCACCTACAATAGCAACACATCACACATTTTAGTCACATATTTGATCATAATCTCGTAACAGAAGATTACTCAAACACCATATGTCCATCAAAGAGTGTACATAAAACAACAACAAGAAACTAAAACTTTCTGCTTTGAAGCAAACAGTAAAGAACCCATCTTTAACCATTTCGAAGATCAGAAAACGCAAATCACGAAACAAAACCCCCATCTCTGACATATTTTGAAGTTCAACACACCAAATCTCCAAGTGAAAGATTTCCAGACTCTACTAATAAAAAATCAACCAATCGAAACCAACAAATTATGATATGCAGGAGACAATCTCCACCAAGTACAAATTCCACGCTAACAAAACACTAAATCAAGAAGGGATTGAACAAGTGGAACAGAATTTTTCACTGTTGCCACTAAATTTTTTTTTTTTTTTTAACTCCCACAAAACTGAAGGAAAGGGATTGAACAAGTGGAACAGAATTTTTCACTGTTGCCACTAAATTTTTTTTTTTTTTTTAACTCCCACAAAACTGAAGGAAAGGGATTGAACAAGTGGAACAGAATTTTTCACTGTTGCCACTAAATTTTTTTTTTTTTAACTCCCACAAAACTGAAGGAAAAATTATTTCTCAAATCGAGAAACCACATATTCTAACGTTTCATTCAGGGTAGGAATCAAGCCAGTAAAAACCCATTCTTCAAAATAAACCCAATTTTCAATGGATAAAGACGACCATAAAAACGAAAAGGAAAAGTTATGCCCAGAGATTCATTCAAGCAACCCGTGTCCATAACTTTAACAAAATCTCATTAAAAAATTCGGGAATTCATATACAAAAAAGTTATGCCCAGAGATTCATTCAAGCAACCCGTGTCCGGTGGTTTTCAATATAATAAAAAAAAAAGAATAGAAATCAAGATCATCATAAGAAACCCAGAAAGAAAAGATAATTAGCGTAAGAAATTTCAACCTGTGGGATTCGGGCCCTGATGAACAACAGCTCTGGAAGCCATATCGAAAACTTCACCTTCGTCTTCTTCTTCTTCTTCTTCCAGATTATTCTGTCCAAAAACCCCTCCAAGACTCGACAAAATAGACGTCAAGAACGATTGGAGACGACTGTTCCGAGCCTCTCCTTCTGCATTAAGAGTCGCCACTATTCTTCAATTTGATCTTTCTCTCTCGATAATTCTTGGTTTTTCTTTTTTTTTTCCGATTAAAGCCGTTGAAGAAGAGAATTTTACTTTATGTGAGATTAGAATGAACAGAGAGAGCGTTTTGGGGAAGATGAGTTGCTTTAAAAGGGAAAACCGACATTAGGCTTCTAACGGTCAAAACTTTTTGATTTTGAAAGAAAACCGTTGGATCCCGGGTATGTCTTCATCGGACGGTTCATATTTGGGATTCTATTTGAGTGGGATTTTACCGAATTACTTCCTCTCTAACGGGCCTCACGTTTCTCTATACTGCTATAAAATTAGAACAAATCTTTTTCTTAAATGGAAAAAAATAATGAATTTAGAATGTTAATTGATCGGAGATACTCATAAGGACAATTAATTGTAAAATTAAGATTTTTTTTGCAAATTTCATTTACAAAACCGATAGTTTCATTTTTGTTTCTTTTAGTAGTGAAGCACCTAAAATACAAAATCGTTCACGGGAGTGCAATTTCAATCATATCATGGTTGGCCATTGCATAATGTTCTTGAATTATTGATCCAGTTAATGAAAATTTAAAGCACATTGCGGAAATTGCAAGGTGATCCCAGCAATAATCCCTTTCTTATAGCCTATTCTCTAAAAGACATATTTGTCTTATTATTCAATTTTGACCTAATCATCCAATGATATCATTGTTTTTTCATTTTTCCTTTTTTTTTATTTGTTGGTGAACAATGAAATGTTATCGTTTGATAGTGTTCAACTTGTCAATATTTAATACTACCTCCGCCCCCTCCCAAAAAAAAAAGTCTATATTGAATTTTGAGATTTGTACTAGTTTTAGTACAAATTTGAAAAATCAATGTGGACTATTTTTTTTGGAACGGAGGTAGTATTGAAATTGCAACTCTTTTTTTTTTTATTTTTAATATGAGCTTTCAAATTAATCCTCTATTTAAATAGGAAGAATGTAAGGAAATTTGGCAATAAAAACTTACAGGAACGACATAGATTGAATCACAATTCTTTAGGAATTCAACAAAAATAGTGATCTTTTACAAAAAAAAAAAAACCCCCAAAAATAGTGATTATATATTCATCAAACTTTATTTTTAAGTGTGATTATATGATTTCTTATACGGATTTATTAGGTAAAATGTTAGGGTTCCATAGCAAATGTTTGTACGGACTAAAAATTTTTTTTGTGACACTTTTGTGCTATATTCTAAATGAATTTAATTAAATATTTGATACATTTCCAGTGGCTTACCATTTGGATTCACTTCCTATTTAGTTAGAGTATTACATGCCCAAAGTATTTAACTAGTGTTATATAAACAATAAAACGAAAGCGTCACAAAACATCGGATCCAACGTATGCTAGTGCTAATATTTGAAAATACATTTTCTTTGATGGGTATTGTATACTTTCACTAGATCAATAATTTTGGCATCCGCAAATTTTATTTAATTTAGAGGGGTGTTATATCGAGTACGGGAAGTTCCAAGTTAATCAACAAGCGGTGAGTTCTTAGAAGAAGAAGCTGGAGGAGGAAATTCAATATGCGACTTATTAAAATTCAGGAAATTTTGAAGTTTCTCAAGGCATTAATTATAAGAGAAGTTTATTGAAGATCTTATTATGGAATAGAAAAATATAGTTAAAGGTTTGACATATATATGATGTTAAAAGTAAAAATACGATACAGGAGATAACTACTTTTTTCATTCCAAAATGATCATAACTTGTACTCAAAATAAAATTATAAACTAGACAATTATTTTGGGACTAGAGAAGTAATAGTTCTTTGAAGATTCAAGAAGCAGATTGTGATAAAAGAGATAAGTAAAGCCATTTTAAACCTTGCGTCAAAGTTCTTGAAAGTGAAAAGGTGATCTACATTGATATGGAGAAATCTCTTGACGGAATAACAGTAGTTTAGATGGAAAGTTCACTTACCTGAAAGGGTGTAGTTAAAAGAAATTGGAATAACAACAAAGCGGCATCTAAATCGCTTGGATATAACTGTAGGCTATAGTGGTGCTAGACATAAACTACGTCATTCTTTATAATTGGAGGTAGAAAGAAAAAAAAAAAGTAATAATAGAATAAGAGTTTAGACGTAATTCAAATGAGTACATTTAAACCAAAAGTAATACTAGTATATAACTTGACTTAGGAAGATTAACTTGAGGAGTTTTATGCCACTGTCCTCACCGTTATAATTTTAAAAGCTTGAAAATAAAGCTAATGTACTAGATACACTAGGAATATATTTTTTTTAAATAAAAAAAAATTGACTCTCAAAACTTCTTGACTCGGTTGGAAAGTATATCCTTATCTTACTATATTATGGATAAATTAAAAGTAGAAATGAGCTTAGATATTTAGAAGAAATGAAAATGAATTATTATAAGGATAGATAACCTCAAAATATTTATAAGATCTATTATATTCAAAACTAAATATAAAAACACCTCCAAGTTCTGGCTACGAAATTGAAACTCTAGGAACTATCTCACAAGTTTCTGTCCCATAATACCTAACGATTAAATCAATACTCCCTCCCTCCGTCCCATAATTATTGTCCAGTTTAAGTTTTTATTTCTAGTTCAAATTGTACTAAAAATGAAATTTTAAACTAAATAATAATTTTGAGAAAGAGGGAGTACTTTTTAAAAGAAATGCGTATAGAATGTATAATTATCAAAATATGTTCATAACTATCTATTTGGAGCTTAAGTAGAACAACCCAGAAGTCTTAACATATGAATAAAATATTATCAAGGTAGCTACAAAATATATTAGGGAAGCTTTCAGGTTGCATGTTTCATTTTGAAGCTTGAAACCCAAGCTTTCTTGACCGATTTCCTTTACCAGTTTACCTCCGTCCTACTAATCCTTAGGCTTCGTAACAAGTTTTGATTATATAGACTCTTTTCCCTTATTACTTTAGTAGCTAATCTTACGTATAAAACATTAAAGAAGCTCAAAGATGTCATTTTTGCTTGAAGAAGAGCATTTTTCCCACCGTCCTAAATTCCTAATATTCAAATAGCTTCTTTGCCAACTTTTCTTGATCATCTTAATCTATTGTTTTATTTTGAGTATAGGTGTGCCTCACTTTTGTCTGGTCATTCTGTACCATTTTAATTAATAGTTTAGTTGGGTCAACTTAGATTTTAAGCTAAAGAAGCCAGTCAACTCTATGTTAGTAAAACTTCTCACCACCGACTCATTTTACTTGTTAGTATTAAAGCTTAAAACTGAAGCTTCCTTTGTCGATTCCCTTGTCATCTCCTTGCATCAACTTTCATCACTCACCAAAGCTTGCATCAAGATCTTCATCACACCATGTTATCATCCTTTATAAAGTTTTCAATATATATTACTCCCTCCGGTCCTTAATAAAGCACTTTGATTTGTCTTTACCTAATATACATTTTTAATTGAAAAAAGAGTTTAAAAATATATTTTCATATTCTTTGTATCGTTAGGAAATATTTTTTAAGATTTTTTTAATCAATTAATACGTATTAGATGAAACATAAGACAAATCAAAATGCTTTACATTAAGGACCGGAGGGAGTACCCTCAAACCTTTTTATTATCCCGATCAAATTCAAATATTAAACCGGTTGCACAAGCTCCCTACCAAAGTGAAATTGTAAGAAAAACAGAGAAGAGAGAGAAGCTAAGTTAGAAGAAGAGAAGTGAACATCAACCTCATCAACCAGTGGTCGGATGATTCCGACTACCTTCGTAAGCTTTTTTCTGAAATTAATTATGCAGAGAAACGGTTGTAAAATTTTGATTATTTCCTTGGCTTACGCTTGCATAGTAATCGAGAGATGATGGATACCTACTAGCAATCGAGAAGCAATGTAGAGAAGCTGACGATGCTTGGATATGCGCCGCTGGTTTAACGGTGGAACTCCGATAAGGGTTTCCTGCAAAACAGGGCCTCGGGGTCTCCCGAGAGTAGACATTCCGATGCTTAAGTCAGTAAAAGGGTTGCTAGAAAGTTTTGGAAGGTAGTTTGTTTGGCTGTCGATTGCGTACCTGTATTGTGGTATGAGCTACCCTATTTATACGTATAAGATTACCTGGATTCTTTCCAAATCCAACTAGGTTTCAGGAGTTTGCACCGCCCTAAGAGTCCCGGTTGGACTCTTCCTACCTTTGGTGGGCCGGTCCAGTCTCAATGATGGATATGGACTCGTCAAGTGCCCCTGCTAAGTGTTAGTGACGTAAATACAAACAACACTTGGCACAAAATAAGTATTACCTGAGATATGCCCGAGAGTGGATAACTACCCTCGTTCGGTTAATTATCAAGCCACATGCCACACATCCTCGATGCAAACGCACAACTCTCGATCTCGGAGGATCGAG